GTTTGGGCAACCGAAGACCAGAAGAAGAAAGAAGCGGTGCCGTAGGCATTGAAAAGTTCGAGCCTCTCGTTGTCGCTAGAGAACCTTCCAGCGGACTGAACCGATGGTGGCGAGTCCTCTAGTGTGCTCGGGACGTAGAAGCACGTCAGAGCGAACTTCGTTTTCCTCTATTTGCTTCTCATTAGAGCTCGATCTGATCTTTCTAGAGAGAGAGAGAAATAAATAAATAAAACTTACGTACTCTAGTTGAGATCTTCAAACGGTCTAACCAAAAGCCACATAATAATTGCAAGAACAGATCTCCAAATTCTCAGATATTTTACCAACTCTCTCTCTCTCCTCTCTTTTTGAACACAGAAACCAATAGCTTGGACCAGGCAATAAGATATACATACACACATCAATATAGAAATATTATTATATATGTGTAGAGAGAGAAAGTTTGTGTTTTGACTAGGAATGAACTTTGTTATGAATAGAATACAATGGTACAGGTTATACTTGTGTATCTTTGATGATATATGTAGTTGTGTTGTTAGATTATTTTTGCACAAAGATTGCATAATGAGCATTAGGGGAGTTTGTGTATTGTGATAAATTTTGGTACAGGTTGGAAATGTTTTTCTAAGGGACTGATATGCTGTCTGAAATAAAGTAAAATTTTACTCTGAAATAAAGGAAAATTTTACTCTACATAAAAGTAAAATTTTACTTTACTCTGAAATAAGAGTAAAATGTTACACTCTGAATCTAAAAGAAAAATAAAATCTTACTCTGAAATAAGAGTAAAATGTTATACTCTAAATCTAAGAGTAAAATGTTACACTCTAAATCTAAAAATAAAATTTTACTCTGTATAAAAGTAAAATTTTACTCTAAAATAAAAGTAAAATGTTACACTATGAATTTAAAAGTAAAATGTTACTCTGCATAAAAGTAAAATTTTACTTTGAAATAAGAGTAAAATATTACACTCTGAATCTAAAAGTAAAATGTTACTCTGCATAAAAGTAAAATTTTACTCTGAAATAAGGTAAAATTTTACTCTAAAAGTAACATTCTACTCTAAAATAAAGTAAAATAAAGTAAATTTTTACTTTAAAAGGCAATAAAGTTTTACTTTCATGTGAATGAAGATAATGTTTTACTTTGAAAAAAGTAAAATTTTACTCTGCAATAAAGTAAAAGTTTACTATGAAATACCGAAAAATTTTACTCTGAAAGCACAGGCTGAGCACAGCCATTTCAAACCTTCACACCTACTGAACAAACTCCATTATAAGTTCATTTACATACTTATTCAACCACATTAAAAAAAAAATACATTAAAATGTTAAACTCAACCACAAAGAAAATCATAAACTTGAACAAACAACCATTGAAGAACATAGTAAAAATGTCTTTTATTGCAATGTCTCCTTACAAATCTAGTCTAAAAGACTATACTATTATTGTTGTGGACTATTTATTGCAGAAGAACTACATTATTTTCATACTTTTATTACAAAAGTAATAATGTCTTTCATGGCAATGTCTCCTTGCAAGTCTTTCTATTATGACCGTACTTCTCGCATCTACCACGTTGTACTCGTCTTATCTTCTCACCCCTAGATGGAACCCTATTCTTCTTTTGCCTACTAGGTGGCTTCTTACAAATTGGAGAAAGGACAACAAGATCATCCATAACTACAAGAGGTTTCTCAACAGTGGGTATTGGATAAACGGACTCAGCATAGCAAGCTTTGAACTTGTTAGTGTAATAAAATGGTTCCACGTGTGCATACAAATCACCTCCGCTCTTTTGGATAACAGTCGCCCCGTGAACACAAAGATATCCATTCAATTGCCATTGGTAACATGAGCAAGTTTCTATTCAAGAGGTCAACACTAACCGATGGCCGGGATTGAACCTCAAAAACATGATCACTTGAACGACTAACCAACCAAGTTCTTCCACTTTTAAGAGTATTTACTAATGTTGAATCCATTTCTGGACAAAGAAAAGTATTCTATTTCTTAGCTTGTTCTCTCATTCTTGACATCAAATCCATAATCTTCAACCTAATTGAATCAACCATCTTCGTAGTGGGCAAGTGACGAGCTTGACGGATCCATGAATTGAAAGACTGTGCCACATTTGAGTGCATTTCACCATATTTTTGTCCTTTAAAATATGCATTAGTCCACTTGTCACTATCAAAGTAAAATTTTACTGTCACTACAAGCCCAAAACACAATTTTAGAGAAGTATAGAATACCAGAGTAAAATTTTACTGTTATTCTAACACCAGAGTAAAATTTTACTCTTATTCTATCAAATAAAAACAGAGCACATACCAGAGTAAAATTTTACTCTAATTCTCTCAAACAAAAAACAGAGCAATAGAATCAGAGTAAAATTTTACTCTGATTTTATCAAACAAAATCAGATCAAACACAACAAAAATAAATAATAAAAAAAAACAAACAAACAAACAAAAATAATTAATCAACAAATCAACATACCTGATTAAGAAGAAAAACCTCTAAAACTCGATCAATACTCACAAATCTCAATGAAACTCTCGTTTGATTGAGAGTGTTGTTCGTTGGCGGTGAGATCGTCTATTGTTGACCAAGGGAGAGATCTTCGGCTGCGAGATCTTCAGATTTGGAAATCGTCTTCATTGATTTCGTTCCTGATTTTGCAAATTTTAACAAATTCGTATACTATATATGAGCTCATATTTCAAATATATGATACATATTGTCATAAAAAAAAATAAAAATTATAAAATATCCTTATTAAGGCAGACATCTCCTACTCAGGGGCTTTTTGAAAGAAAATTGATTGAGTTATCATTTATCCTAATTAAAAGGCCCAAAAGAGAAGTTTCACTAAAACTCCCATTTTTAAAACAATTTGAATAAGAGTATTTATAAAAGAAAATGAAGCTAATCGAATAATAACAATACATTTGAATCATATTTGGTTTTATCAAAAAAATAGATAATTTATTTTAAAGATTTATTTTGTCTACATATTTTTTTTTAAAGATAATTGTAATTTAAATGAGTAATAGAATTACTTTTAAACTTAATGATGGCCAATTTATTAAAAAAATTATGACAACTCTTATTTTTATGTCTTTTTTAATTATCAATTAATTATGTTTTTTATACACTACTAAAGTTTATTTTAGGAAGTATGGAAAATTTTAACTTTTTGAGTTTTTTTTTTTGAAAAAATATGCAAAATGATAAAAATAAGGAGGTAATGCGATCCAAATAAACTAATAAATTGATTTTTTTTCCTAATTATTAAAATATGCCTAAGTTTTAAAAATAAATTAAAAAAAATAAATTTCTATATAATTTTTCTTTTTGTTATGAATAATTGAGAGATTGACCAATAAGTCTCATATTTTGGACTTGTAAATAAATCATTACATATCCAAAATGACTAAATGAATCATAAGAAAAAAATAATAATTATAATATTTATTTGTGAGATAAGATTTATTGATAAATATCCCTAAATAAGGGAGATTGACCAATAAGTCTCATATTTTGGACTTGTAATCTATATAGTCCCGTATTTTTTTTTCTTATGATCCATTTAGTCCTTTTAGATATGTAATGATTCATTTACCCGCCACATTAAAGTGTCATATTTTTTTGGGGGGGGGAATACACTAAAGAGTTTTTTAATATTACATCATACTCGCTACGTTAGAGTGTCATATTTAGAAAAAATACAATAAAAAGTTTTTTATTTTTTAAGTGCGCCACATTATACCCGTCAAGTTGGAGCGTCATATGTCACATTTGGAAAAAATACACTTAAGATTTTTTTTTGAAGTGTCACATCATACCCGTTACGTTGTCACATTTGAGAAAAGTACATTAATGATTTTTTATTTTTTTTAAAGTGTCACATTATACTTGTCACGTTCTCATATTTGGAAAAAGTACATTACAAAGTTTTTGTGACATACCTGTCACGTTATCACATTTAAAAAAAAATACACTAAGAAATTTTTTAATTTTTTTTTAGTGTCACCTCATACTCGCCATGTTGTTACATTTGGAAAAAAATACAGTGAGGAGTTTTTAGTTTTTTTGGAGTAAAAGTCTTGGAGTGTCATATCATATCCACCACGTTGTCACATTTGGGAAAGGTACAGTAAGAAGTTTTTAATTTTTTTAGCGTGTCATATTAATATCTGCCACATTAGAGTATTATAGCATATCTGTCACATTAATAAAAAGGGTATAGTTATCCATCAAAATACTATCAAAATAAAAATAGGACTATACAGGAAAAAAACCTTCCACTAATAGGAGTTAGGTCTCGTTTGGCAATATCATTTTTTAGTCTAAAAGTCAAAAAATTACTAAAAAAATTAAAAAGCCAACAACTTATATAAAAAAGTCAAAGATTCTCTATTTTCTCTATTTTTTGTACATATTTTTATAAAAATTAAAAAATCATCACACACATATTAATTTTTTTACATCATATTTTAGTTAAAAAGTCCAAAAATTACTAAAAAAATCTGTTCCTAAACAAGGCCTTAATAGATCAATAGAACAAATTTGAAACTAATTAAAAGTTTTATTTGTGAGATAAAATTTATTGATAAATATCCCTAAATAATTTAGATTAAAAATTAAACGATTCAAAATAGTAAAACAGTAATGATACGTGGCTCGAAAATTTTTAAGTTCGAATTTAACCTGTATCTAAAACGACGTCGTTTTAAACGATAATTTCATTTTACGAGGAAATTATTTAATGAAAATTATCTTATTGGTAAGAGAATTTTAATATATCTTATAGATAAGAAAATCTAAAACGACATCATTTTGAACAGTCAAAAAAATCCAGAAAAAAAAAATTCGGAAAACAAAACATTATTGATAATAAAATAAAGTTAAAATAATTCTAAAATAATTGAAACTGGATCCTCCAATCCAAATAATCACTTGTGAGAAGCCAAATAATATTCCCAAATTTAAGGGAATAAATACAGCAACAGAGGTCTCTGACAGTTGCCCGTGATGAACAACAAGACAAACCACCACCCATCTCTCCTGTTCTCTCTCTCTCTCTCTCTCTCTGTTGTCTTCAACCTCTAGACCTCTGCACGCTCCGGTGTTGAAGCTCACGGTGAAACTAAAAAAAATGGGCAGTCTCTGTTTCTCTCTATCTTCACTCATTCTGTTTATTTCAGTTGCAGAGTTCTTCTTCCAAGCCTATTCCACCACTTACTGGGCAGACATTGAGACACTGAAAGAGTTCAAGAACGGACTCGACCCTAACTCACTCAGTCCCGGCTCGTGTTTGAGTTCCTGGGACTTCACCCTCGACCCCTGCGACCATCTCTTCTCCGACAAATTCACATGCGGGTTTCGATGCGACGTCCTAGTCTCCAACAACAGCCGAGTCACCGAACTCGTTCTCGACCAGGCGGGTTACGCTGGTTCACTCGCTTCCACCTCCTGGAACCTCCCTTACCTCCTGATTCTAGACCTCTCCAACAACTTCTTTACGGGTTCGATTCCTGACTCGCTCTCCAATCTCACTCACCTCCAACGACTGAGTCTCTCTCGCAACTCGCTCTCCGGCTCAGTACCCACTTCGATTGCTTCTCTCTCTACCCTCAAAGAGCTTTTCCTCGACAACAACAACCTGCAGGGAACAATCTCATCAGCTCTCAACGGTCTCAAGAATTTAAAAAGGCTCCAACTCCAAGGCAACAAACTCAGTGGCGTGCTTCCCGATCTGGGTCAACTCAGCAACCTCTACTTCCTCGACTTCAGCGACAATGCCATTTCCGGCGAACTTCCGGCGACTCTTTCGACCAACCTCGTCCAACTCTCCGTTCGAAACAACCAAATCGAAGGGAATATTCCGGCGAATCTTATATCCAATATGGTATATCTACAAGTAATGGACCTGAGTCACAACAATCTATCCGGGTCGGTTCCTTCGGGTCTCTTTACACACCCATCTCTTCAACAACTAACTCTCTCCTTCAACCAATTCGAGTCGGTTCAAGTACCCGGAGATTCGGGTCAAAACAGCGAGCTCGTGGCAGTGGACCTGGGTAATAACCAGATCCACGGGTTGTTACCGTTGTTCATGGGTTCAATGCCGAAACTGTCGGCACTGTCCCTAGAGAACAACAAGTTATCGGGTATGATTCCGACCCAGTACGCCCTCAAGGCGGTGGTGCCGGGTCAAGGGGTGTCTCGGTTCGAGAGGCTGTTGTTGGGTGGGAACTACTTGTTCGGACCCATACCGGGTCCGCTGATACGGATGAGGAATTCGGGTTCGGGTACTGTGCGGTTGGGAGATAACTGCTTGTACTGGTGTCCGGTGAGCTTCTTCTTTTGTGAGGGTGGGGAACAAAAGTCGATTATGGAGTGTAAGAGTTTTGATCCTGTGATTCCTTGAATTGTGTGATCACCTGTGACGATGATAAAAGTGATATTTCACAATCTCTAGTTTTCGTACGTGTATCCTTTACTTTCATGTTTAGGCATGTTAGGGAAAATTGAATTTTTAATTTTTTATATTTGTTTTTTGGATGAAAATAGAAATGTTAGTCTTGCTTAATGAGATTTTTACTTTTGTGAGCTAAGTTATTTATTGAAATTTTTTTTTAGGATCCCTATTATTAACATTTTATAACGTAGAAGGATATTCAATATTTTAAGAATGTCTAAAGTTCTTTAAATTAATTCAGAAAAAATTCGACTTCACAGAGAAAATCTCACCAAGAAATTGATTGCAACCCAAAGAAATTCTCTCAAAATCAGAGAAATTTATCTCTCCACCCTAGAGAAATTTACTCAAATCTAGAAAAAATGCCTAGTAAACTCAGAGAAATTCACTCAAATCTAGAGAAAGTCCCACTCCAACCTAGAGAAATTCACTCAAACTCAGAGAAAATCCCTTTCCAACCCAGAGAAATTCACTCAAACTAGAGAAATTCCCCCTTCCAATTCAGAGAAATTTCACTCACAATCTTTTCTAGTTGAAAATCATAAACCTCAAGCAAAAGGTGTTCCATGGTTCATACGTTGGCTGGTGTTACAAGATCTGTCAACAGTACCTTGGAAAATTTGAAGAAAAATTAGCCTTGATTCAATAATCTTCAAAAATCGAAAAAACTATACAAGATCTAGAACGAACCAGTTGATAGAGGAAGATGGAGATTGAGGATGAAAATATATATATATATATATATATAGAGAGAGAGAGAGAGAGAGAGAGAGAAATGATGATGATGATGGTTAAAAATAAAGATAAGAAAGTTCTTTCTCTCGTCTATTTGGAATTTCGGCAGTGGAGAAAGCACAAGCACAAAGCTTTGAATTCTTCATCTGATTCGCCTTTAGGGTTCATTCTCTGTGCTTCGGAACGATTTGTTGTTCTCCGAAGCTTAACTTGGTTGAATCAAATTCACATATGAGATAATGAGACTAATATGGAAAGTTTCAACTTAGTTCTCGTCTTGGGCTTTGCAATCAAATTTGAAGTTTGAACTCTGATCAAACTCTATTTATCTCCTCACAGATCCATCTCAATCTGTTTCTCTTGAAGGTGGACGATCTGATGAACTGGGCACGCAGAGAGAGTTTATGTCACGCCCCAAAATTTGGACAATTAAATATTAAATTAGGACTAAACCCCAATCAATATTCCATCATCCTAATTCTAGGGGTGAAACAAAAAAAAACTAAAACACCAACTAAACCATCCACCATAATCTCATTACTAACAAATACCTCAACATTAAGTGCCAACAACTAGTCAAAACAATTTAAATAAAGTACGGTTACAAACCATTCTAAATTATTCCAATACTAAAGTCATAAAGAGAATAATAAATACATAGACTAATATCAATCCTAAGCTCAATAAAACAAAAAAAGTCCAAACGGCAGGTCTAACACTATCGTAAATCCAAGTCACCACCGTAGCCCCAACTAATCCTGCAAATGAAGCTCAGCTGCGCTCAAACAGAACGCACCCGAGTTGTCAAGAGACAAAACGGGTCAGTATACAGGTATACTGGTATAAGTACAAGAATTGACACCCACGTGTCCACCAGACACAAACAAAAAGCACATTATTTCTTGTTACGGAACAAGACAAGTAGTTCCAACCGTACCGAGACGAATATGTAGTTTCTCGAGATACGGTGGCATTTAGTTTCTTGTCCGTACATAACGAAATATAAATTGATTATAAAATAGACAAAATAGAAATAAAAAATATGGTGGGTCAGTCCTGCATAAAAAGTTAGTAAGACCCACTATCGTGCAAAAAAAATAAAGTTAGTATAATTTAATCATAAGTAACTCGCTGAATAAGTATAAAAATGCACTGTTTCCTACTTAAATAATTTGAATTGACCAAAACTCAAAGAACGAAAGTTGTACAGAATCAAATTTTCTAAAATACAATGCGAACGAATTTAACCGAAACTGAACAGGTTAAGAGAAAACCTTGATCTAAAAATCTTGACGGAATTCAATCGAAAAAATTTGAAAGCTGAAAACGAACAAAAATTGCTTTAAGATGATTTTTTTTTGAAAAAGTTCAAAACATGAAAAGTGTGCAGAATAATGTTTTACTTCAGTTTGCATGAAACCAATAAAAATGAGCTCGTTTCGTGGGTTAAAATAACCTATAAAATCTGCATTACCAAAATGAATCAAACCGACAATAACCAAGGTCATCCGATTATAAGTTCTAATCGATCTTTTTAATAAAAGGGTACAACACAAAAGTTGTCCAAAATCACGTATGCATGCCTCTGCTCAAATTTCATAATTTATTGAGGTCGATTACTATTTTTCTATCATGTACAAATCAATACCAATTACACTATACTAATAAATTCATAATTAAATTCTTTGTACCATAACTCCACCACTTCGGCCCTCCCCTTCCGGCCTACACATATATCCCATGTGCCTCCCGTATATCTAACACCTCTCTGAAGCCAAACTTGCACGGGGATATCGTCCCGAGTTTGACTCACACTCCCAGGATGGTTAGCATATACGTACGTGCGCAAATCAAAGCACTCGTCTACTCATGAGAACGAGACAACAATATATATATATACACAACATCTCACATATGAGAATAAACATAACAATGCCGAGCCTAAGGCATTCAAATAAATCTCATAATCCTCACTTTTTTTATACATTCTTTCTCACCATCACTCAAATAAAACAACAATCCATGGAGTCATGGTGGAGTATAAGGAATTTATCTATAGATTCCTAATTAATTTTAATTTTATACAACCATAAGTGTAATTACAATCATAAAATAAATTCATATAAAAATCCTAAATATGACATACACAGCTAATCAAACTAATTAAAATCAATTCATCAACTACATGCAAATACAAAATCAATCCAACATCAAATAAAATAAATAAGTAAATAAAAACAATGAATCAATCCATCCTCTTACCAATATCTATAGATTCTAAATTTATTTTAATTTTATATAATCATGAGTATGATTACAATTATAAAATCAATCCATACAAAAACCATAAATCTTGCATATACAACTAATCAAAATAATTAAAATCAATCAATCATATAAAAACCTTGAACCTTACATACAAACTAAACAAAATAATTAATTTAATCAATCATCTAAAAATCTTAAACTTTACCTACACAACTAATCAAAGTAATTAAAATTAATCAATAATCTAAAAAACCCTAAAGTTTACCTATACAACTAATCAAAGTAATTAAAATCAATCACTTTTCTAAGAATCCTAAACTTTATATACACTACAGTCAAAATAATTAAAATCAATCTATCATCTATAAACCCTAAATCTTATATCCACAACTAATCAAAATAATTAAAATTAATCTATCATCTTTATGTAAAACAAAATCAAACTAACATCAAACAAATAAAAATAAATAAATAAATAAAATAGCGAATTAAACATAAATTAAGAAAAGTGAGTTTTGTACTCACAATATTTTTTTGAAAATCCAATAAATATTTGGAGAACTAATAGAGCCATCAAAACAAAACCTTAACCTTTTTTTTTTTTTTTCTCCTCTCCTCTTCTTCCATGCCATCTCTCTCTTCTCTCCTCTCAGTTTCCGCTGCGCCTCCGATTCACTTTTCTTTGATTGACTCATCTATTTTCTAACCTAATACACCATTATATACTATTGTATTATATAATACATTATAATATATATAAATATAAATATAAGATTAAATATATATAAATATCGATATATAACACCTCTCTCTTTTTTTATATAACAAATATAAATATATTAATTAGTTAAATAACACATTAAATTTATTAATTACAACATTAAATTCATTAAATATCACATTAACTAAACAACACACTAAATTCTCATATAAACCACACAATTAATAAAGTTAAAAAAATAAAATAAGATAATAATAATTATAATAATAATAAATAATGACTTAACAAAATTAGGATTGCTACAGTTTAAAGTGAGAGAGAGAAAAAAAAAATGAGGTTTGGCTTTAGATAGTCAAATTTTTCTATAATATATGGGTGTGAGAGTTGAGAGGTGTACGGGGAGGAAATAATTCTCCTCGTATAATCCTGTTGACCAAGTCCACGCTCCTCCGTACAACGTCGCTTTATCACCTAAAAACACAAACGTGAGCTAGCCGGCGGGTGTGTGCCGGAAACCTCTCCGATGCCTAAGTCAGAAAAACAGAAAAGGGGGGGAAAAAAAAAAAAATTTTTTGGAAATTTTTCCCGAATTTTTCCAAGGTCCCCCCCCCCCCTTAAAAAACCTAAAAAAAAGGACATGAACCCCCCCCGGTTTTTTTTTGGTTTTTGCCTTTCCTTTGTTTTCCCCTTCTTGATAGCAGGTTGGGCACTTAACACCTTCCCTAAAAAGTGCTCAGCCTTCTTAATTGAACCTCTGAGCTCGCACACGCGCTCAGGTTTCAAAAACTCCATGATTACATTGATAATCCTTGAGGTGGTGCATCGATTGGTATTCTGTTTGGGATGGTCATTATGATCTGGGGGGCCGGTTGCGCTCCTCCTTCAATGTATTTGTCCAAGTGGCCTGCTGCACCATTCTTCCAAAGTGCTGTCTCAGTGGCGTGCAATTCCTCAGTTCGGTGCCCTTTTCTTTGTGGAAGGTGCAACGTGATCTGTCATCGTAATCTTTCTGAGCTTCCCCTAGCTTGGCTGGCCACCTTGACGAAGGCTCATCTTTTATTTCGCTCAGAATCCGATATATTGATTTTTTGAACACCCGGTGTTATGGCAGTGCGGATTCTCAACCATCTTTTGTCTGGGTCTTCTCCCGTTATCTCGTCTGCCACGCCCGTTTCTATTCTGCCGATCTACTGTATTGACCTTTGCTGAGGTCTTCTTTCTGGTACTTGCGGTTGCACTAAGATTTTTGCTTTTTGCACGTGCGCCATCCCTCTCTACCCTGATGTGCTGATGCACTCTTTCCATCAGGGCCTCCATGGTGGTGAGGGGTGCATGCGTCATGGTACATCGAATCCCTTAGTCTCCCGTTACTGCGTAGCTGAATAGGGCCTTTTATATTGCGCAATGGCTAG